CTGAAACAGCTGAACAACATCACCAAATGTATGGGATCTAGTAGGTGACACTGTGGCACCTTAACTTTTTATTAGCTTACTTACTTCAGGAGGAATGTGATAGTCACAGAAAGAGTAAAAATTCAGAAGTAGAGAAGGATCGTCTCATGATTAGAGATATATGAGCACTGAGATGCCCCTAAAATCCCATGTCACTTAAAATGGAGATACTTGGGGATAAAGAGAGAAAGAAGGAGCGAGGAAGAGATCACCCCCAAAATCAGCCCATCCAGGTACCTCTTCTGGGTCAAACTGGGATGAAGCACAGATCAGAGCGAATCCGAGAGCCAGCAGAAAGGTCCTCATCTTGATGAGATCTGTCTTCCTGTCCTTCAGGAGATCAGGGTAGATGAGCGATTGAAGAGAACGAGTTTGATTCCTCTTTATATAGTATTGGCAACTTGGCATGAGCAGCAACGGATCCATTGTTTTTCATCCTGAACCTTCTGTCTGCTCAGTGTTTCCTGGTTGGCTTGGATGGACCATCCAGGACCTTCTGTTATTTGACTAATGAGATTAATATTAGCAGAAGCTTAAGTTCTACCAGATCATTGACCTTTATATAAGACTCATGCACAAAGCCCGTCATTGACTCCAAGGAAGGTAGTGATTATATCCTTTGATTCCGATGGCTGAAATGAAAGATCAAGGACAAAAAGTCTCTACCCAGCTCCCATAATCAATTCTCTAAGGTTTGAGGGAAATCCTGAAAGTTACATTCAAGAACTCATGATGGTACCCTGTGGTCTAAGCAGATTAGATAATGGCATCTCTGTATTCAGTGCAAGGTAACAAGTCTGGTTGGAATTAAAAAGGCACATAAAAGAATCACAAATGCTTCCCTCTTAGTGAATATATGAGTCTTTCTTGGAGTTGAGATCCAAGTCCTTTTTAGTATCCACTTGAATTACCAATGGGTCGCCAACCCCATTAGAAGCACCACCATGATCAATCACTCTGACTATGTAACGAGAGTTGATGTCAGATCTGCACCAACCCTAGCTATGAGCTTCACGTAAATGGTTAAAATAAATCCAGATGGAAAGATACTGCTTCGGGGTATCAAAATCTGGATAGAGACGGGGAGGCTGAGGCAGGAGGATCCCAATGTGAAGGCCAGCCTCAGCAGCTTAGCCAGGCTCTCAGCAACTTACTGAATTCTGGTCTCTAAATAAATAAATAAACAAACAAACAATCAAATGGATTTAAAAAATGGCTGGTGATGGGGGGGTCAAAAATAAATTTTTAAAAATAAAGTAAAAACAATGGGGCTGTAATTCTAAAGGCTCGGGAGGCTGAGGCATGAGTCTCATGTGTTCAAATCCAGCCTCAGCAACTTAGCGAGTCTCTGAGAAACTTGGCAAGGTCCTGTCTCTAAATACTACTACTACTACTACTACTACTAATAATAATAATAATAATAATAATAATAATAATAAAATTAGAGAGAGAACCACAAGTATATAATCAAAAATAGCTCAGTCTAAATTATTTCCATACTGGATTGAAAGATGAATTGGATACAAAATGTCGTTGCGATGTAAGTGACATACAACAATATTTCTCCTGTTAAAAGGAAGCATAACAAAACTTGATTGATGGACCCAGGCTGTCCTATGAAGGACTCTTTCCTGCCCTAAAAAGACACCATTGACACATGGTTCTCAACAACTTGGTCAGACTTGCAACTTTGCTTTTGTGGGATTTCTTGTTCCGCTTCTTGGATTCAGCCAGGTTATTTTGACATGAGGCAATGGTGTCTGTCTTGATTCATGACAGAGCAGGTATTGCACAGATGTGTCACTTTGTAATTCATTTTAAAACACTGGTGGATTTGCATTCCTGGCTGTTGATCTTTGCAAACCCAACTAAACCTGAAGGTACTCATCTTCACAAAGCACTGTTCTGCTTAGGACTCAGCAGATGCTCACAATTGAACTGAGTGAAACAAAGTCCCTGGGTCATTTCACCTCCCACCGAGGCTTGGGAAAACTTCAAAA